GAGTCTAGAGGGACTAAGAGCCTGTGGAATACTGGAAAAGAAGAAGTGAAGAAAACCAGTCATGGGAACATGTCTCCAAAGCCATTTAAAAAGTCTCCAATAACCAAATTGTACTTTTCAGTTCTTTCTTTTCTCCCCGTCTCCCTTGGCCACTCCATGTGTCTTGCAGGACCGCAGTTCCCCGACCAAGGGTCAAACCTGTGCCCCTGCAGGGGAGTGCAGAGTCCTACCGACTGGGCTGCCGGGGAGGTCCCTGCACTTTTTAGCCTTAAATGGCTTCTTAATATTTGTATTTTTATAAGCCATTGCAATCGGAGTGGAGTGTTTTGAGCTTGCACCTGTTGTCACGTGGGGCTCAATTTTCCTGCCACTTCTCCCCCCTGGATCTCAGTTTCTCTGAGCGCCCAAGTGCCTGCCTCCCTTCAGCCTACTTTGTAGGGCGGGATGTTTCCCCCAGAAATGCTGTGTCCTCTCGTCTAGTTGGTAGTATCTTCTCTTTATAAAGTAGCATTTTGATTTTAGATGTATTGTGTCACTCGCTGAGTAGAATGTTTGTCCACAGACGTCCGGTATTACAGCACGGTGTTGGTTTGCAGGGATCATCTGTATTGGAAACACTGCACTGTATTTACTAACTCATGGTCACCGACCTTGAGAGCAAGTTGAGGCTTCAAGACTATAATTAAGAAAAAACATGGTTACATAAGATAGCCTTTGAAGTCAGAAAATGCTGGTTCATGTTGGAGGGAAAACACAGTGGAGATGGATGTAAAGTGTCATCTTGGTGTTTTTTTTTTTTTTTTTGCCTACACTGAGTGACATGTGGGATCTTAGTTTCCTGACCAGGGATTGAACCCATGCTCCCTGCAGGGAAGTTCAGAATCTTAACCACTGGACCGACAGGGAAGTCCCTTATGCATTTTTTTAATGTTCTGTTGAAGGTTCCTGACCTTTGGGGTCACCTTTGCTTAAAGGGAACAGAGGGGTTGGCCTTGCCTCCCTCACACCATCTCTCCTTTGGTTAAATTTACAAACTGTCTGTTCTGCTTTACATGAGGAAACTTGTTTATGTGTTTGCCTAATTTATATGTTTATGAAACTCTATCCTTACCATAGAGTTAAGGATAAAAATGATCATCTTTAGTTTACAGTAATTTTTTTGGATAGCAGACACCTTGGATGATTTTTATTTATTATTTATTTATTGTTCAAATATCAGTCACTCTCTTTCAGTTCTGAAAGTGCATGGCACAGTCCTTATAAGTTCCATAATTCTCCAACAGGTACATGGAACTGTGATAGAAAATGCATCAAGCAGGAAGTCCTAAAGGGTGTATTTCAAAGTACCTTTGGTGTCTTAACATTCTCGGCATTTGCCCTAATAAATGAGAGGTTTTAGGAATGCCCTATATGGTGATATCAGATGTTAATGGCATTGATTACTTGTCAGGCAGTGGGAAATGATGGGAAAATGTCTGCTGTAAAATTAAATAGCATTAGAGAAGACTGTACCATGCGTTTGGGGCGGGGGCGGTGAGGGGGCTGGACCTGGGAGACTTTGTCAGGGTATTACTCTGAGCTCCAGGTTTTTTCCCCTGCATGATTAAGGCAGGCCATCTGTTCTTTGTTAAATGTTTACAAAAACAGCTTTTCTCTAAAAGATTTAAGGAGATGTGGGTCTGGTAAACACTATAATATTTCCGAGCACCTTTCCCACCTGACTTCAAGCAGTGTTCAAACAGAATCCTGCTGCCTATCAAACAGCCTTCATATCTTTTTATATTTGGTCTTTACGCCCCCCCCACCCCCTTCTTACAGAAGATTAAATTTTTAAGGGATACTAATTTATGGCTTCATTTGTTACTGAAAGGAGCGTCCAAAATGATTTGTATGCTAAAGTGCAGATGAATTTTCTGACTTCTGGTAGTTTGTGTTATATGCTTTTTCTGACTCACATCTGTGGAACAGGTATCTCTCATCCGAAGCTGGCATCTGGTTACCCGAGTTAATACCATGCAGATTAGAGAAAGGTACACATACCTGGAATTAATTCACCATTCTAAGCTGTAAGCACTGTTTACTCAGAGACTTTCCTCTTTCCTTCCCCTTCCAGGAAATGCCTTCTCTTCCATTTCCTGACAAATAGCTTGTCCCAAATAAGTTTGATTTCCATGTGTCTTATGAAAAGATCTGGCTTTTTCCATTGTACTTACACGAGGAAATAATATTTAACAATTAGTTCTACTCCAGCAACTTAGATATAGTAAAACTGTTGAATCAGATCCCATTAATTCTCAGGTAATAAAATTTAAAAAAAACTTTTAATTTTGTATTGGGGTATAGGTGGTAATGTTGTGAGTTTCAGGTGAATAACAAAGGGTCTCAGCCATACACACCCTTGTATCCATTCTCTCCCAAACTCCTGTCCCATCCAGGCTGCCATATAGCATTGAGCAGAGTTCCCTGCGCTGTATAGTAAGTCCTTGTTGGTTAACCATTTTAAATATAACAGTGTGTACATGTTCACCCCAAACTCCGTAACTATTCCTTCTCCCCATCAACCGTAAGTTTATTCTTTGAGACTGTGAGTCTCTCTTGTGTTTTGTAAATAAGTTCATTTGTATAACTTCTTTTTGGATCCTGCATATAAGGGATGTCATACACGATTCCTCCTCTGTCTGACTGACTTCACTCAGTATGACGATCTCAAGGTTCATCCATGTTGCTGCAAATGTCAGCCGTTGACAGTCTGGTTAGGTCCTCGGTTGGTGTTTGCTGAAAGCACTTGTTTGTTAGGGCAGGTGGCTGATGTTTCCCAGGAAGTGCTCATTTTGTCACCACTGGGCGTGCCCTGCAGCTGCGTGCATCCCCACTCTTCTGCCCCAGCTCCATTCTCCTCCTGTGCATCCGAGAGGGTCTTCCCCTCTCTCCTTCAGGGTCTTCCCCTCTCAGCTCTGACCGAGAAACGGCAATATGTATTTGAAGATTTTCTAGTATCATAGGATGTTGGAAGAGACTTTGGAATAAACGCTTCCTTTTGCCAATGAAGAAAAAGTGACACAATTCCCCCCAGATAATACACCTCCTGGCAAGCTTCGGGAATGTTCTCTGTCATCTCACAATGCTAACTCTGGCTCTTTCTCTTACACCAGCACAGCTGCAGAACTGAATGTAGGTTCCTCCAGTAACTGTAGTAGCTTTTAGTGGGAACAGAACAACCAGTGTCTTTCCTGGCAGTGGTTTCTTTTCTTTGAATTTTTGGAGGGTCGCTGAACACTGGAAAGAAAGTGAGGCTTGCAGTACCTTTCCTATGAGGATGATGCCTCAGGGTGAGCTGTGAGGAGCCAGGCAGAAAGAGCACTGGATTTAGTAGGAAACCTAGATTCAGATGATGCCTGAGGCCCTCCACCCTGTGGCCTCAGGTAGCCACCTGGCCTCCTCAAATTCTACTTCTTTTCTGAAAAACAGGGGTAAATGATCACATTTTGGTTGTATTGGAATCTGAATTGCAGTCTGAGCTCCTCTCACATCCTCCGCAGACCTGGCCTCTCCGGCGGCTCATCTCTTGGGGATTGTGTGGGTGGGCATGGGCCCCAGTTCTGTCACTTGCCTCTGTCGCTCTTGGGCACATGCATCACATGAGCGCGTCTGTGTCCACAGAGAGCTCTCCAGGCTGGCACAGGGATCGAACGGTGTCCCGGGCTAAAGTACTTACCTAGCACAGGCCCCAACATGTGGTAGGAGTTTTCCGTGCACACTTGTGGCTGTTACTACTGTTGCTCTTTATACTATAGTTAGTATCCAGTGTCTGGAGAAGCATATGAAAAAGGCAGAAAATGAATGAAGCTTGCAGATGTAACATTTTCAAGGATTGCGTTGAAATGTAAAGGCGCATTAGATGTCATAGTTTACAGTGGAGACAGGTTGTCCTCTCCCCCTGTTGTCAGCTTCCTGTCCCAGGTGTTGGTATTCTCCACCATATTTAAGACCATCTCTGGATACGGTCCTAGTGGATGTCAAAAATCTCCTGCAAGTCATGTCAGATTGACTGTTTGGGGGGGATCTCTTTCTCTCCCCCCCCCAATCCCTTCCCTCCCTTCCTTTGTGTGAGATTTGGAAATGTAAAACTTTAATAACTTAATAAAAATTTTATCTGCCTTGCCTATCAATCCCAGAAATCTAACCACCCTAAAGTCCTTTAGCTGGTACATGTGTGCTGAGTTGCTCAGTCGTGTTTGACTCTTGTAACCCTGTAGACTGTAGCCTGCTGGGCTCCTCTGTCCATGGGTTTTTCCACGCAAGAATACTGGAGTGGGTTGCCATTTCCTTCTCCAGGGGATCTTCCCAAGCCAGGAACTGAACCCGGGTCTCCTGCATTGGGGGCAGATTTTTTACCAACTGAACTATGAGGGAAGCCCTATCCACATATAAGCTGGCATATATGCTCTTAAATAGACATTTGAATGTCATTTAAATTAAAAATGACTCGTACTGTATAAAATTTGTGTGTTTATACTCGGACTTCAGATTTTCACAGTATCTGATTCTTAAAGTGTTCAGTTTGCCTGTTGTTTTTAAAAGTGACTTGATTATCCATCTTTAATTAGAGTTCCCGTTCCTGCAGGGGGAAAATTCTACTTGAATTCCTTCTTTGTGGCTTAGTTTTTGCTGCTGTTTCATCCTTCATCAGTTCCTACACAGGTGCTAATAACATGGGAAGTGTCTTTAAATTGAGAAATTTTCTTTCTCCTGAACAGAATTTTTTTTTTTAACTGTATTACTAAGTTGCTCTCTCTAAGTCTATTCATTTAAAAGCCTTCTTGTTGAAGAAATCTGTTTTTTTGGATGAGACAAAATGATAAGTTTCACAGCTGTAGAGTGGGTTATGTTTGCTACCTTGAGTGTAGAGTAAGTTTGAGAACTATCAGCACTAACTTTCAGTTCCTTTATAAACTGCGAAGAATGATAAACTAATTTCAATTCCTATTTGTGTCTCTTAGCATTCTCCATCGGAGCCCTTTCTAGAGAAACCAGTGCCGGATATGACTCAGGTTAGTGGGCCGAACGCTCAGCTAGTGAAGAGTGATGATTACCTGCCGTCGATGGAACAGCAGCCGCAGCAAAAGAAGAAGAAAAAGAAGAACAACCACATTGTTGCAGAGGACCCCAGTAAAAACTTTGGTAAAGAGGACTTCCCTGGTGGGCTTGATAACCAAGAACTAAACAGGAACTCACTAGACGGGTCCCAAGAAGAGAAAAAGAAAAAGAAAAGGCCGAAGGCAAAAAAAGATCCCAAGGAACCGAAAGAACCCAAGGAGAAAAAAGAGCCCAAGGAACCCAAGACCCCGAAAGCCCCTAAGATTCCCAAAGAGCCAAAGGAAAAGAAAGTAAAAACTGCCACGCCAAAACCCAAATCCAGCAAAAAGTCAAGGTAGGCTGCGGGCAGAAACACCTGCCACCAAACAGTAGAGACGCAAGCACCAAACAGTTACAACCTATGGAAGGGGGGGGGGGGGCAGCTCAAGGGCTGGGGTCACTCTGATTTTTGTCCTCGCTGTTAAGCTTCTTTGTGTCACACCCAAACTAACAAGTGGAGGTGTTAACGCATTCTAAAATTTAGGACTCCCATTATTATGAATTGTCAATTTGGGTGGTAGATTTTTGAAATTTTACTAGGTAAAGAATAGTTTCTTATTTAAAAATCACTGTCTTATATTTTTGGGAAAACCTGGCATTTAACAAATAGAACCAGGTTACTAGCATAATTGTTTGTAAGCTTAGACCACCAACCTCATTTTCAGAGACGTTGCCAAACGGGCAAGAAGGATTATAGAAGCCAGGAGAGTCACTATATTTCACCAGGCTTTTCAGTCCTGCTTCCCAGAAGCTGAAACAGGAGAATTAATTCTCCCCATTTGGCAGGCAGAGTGATCCTTCCAGGGGCAGGGTGGAGATGCTAGTGGGCGACGTGGGACAAATCAAAGAGCAGTTACCCATTAGATATGCCTCGGATAAGACCGTGTAGTTTAGGTTCTAGGGAAAAAGCCTCCTACACGCCTCCTTCCCCTCCGTACTTCCCCACCGACTCTCTGACCCCCCAGGAGGCATATTTATTCAGTAAGAAAAACTGAGAGGAAAAGACATTGAAGACTAATTTTTTTCATTTGTACCGAACATTTCTTACAACTGTTCTGAACCAGTTCCAAACATCTGAATCTATTTTTCAGAATATGGCTCATGTTATAAAATATAGTTTCCAGATGGAAGTATGGTCGGACTTGGTTACCCCAAACCTGTTTGTAAAACTCGTGTAGAAAGCACGCACCCCCACAAACTCCCACATGCGAATGTGCACGTGTGGTGCGCATGCGTAGTCAGCCCTGAGATTGATGCGCTGGATCCCTGCTTTGTGAACTTGCGGGCCTGGCAGCCTTGGGCTTGTGGGCGATCCTGGGTATCAAAAACAGGTACACAAAGAGGGCGTGGTTTCTGTGGCTAGAGAGATGCTGCAAAGCGGAAGGACAAACTGGGATTTTCAACTTCCTGCTGAAAATGTCTAAACAACCCAGTGCATTATTCGGTAGTGTTTTGAAAATTTGAATCATAGTAATTTAAAAAAAAACAAAACTTTTTTGTTGTCGGTACTTTATATGGTGCCCAAATAACTGAGTTACAGTTGGCCCTCCACAAGGGACTTGAGTATCTTGGGTTCTGTTGTCTGCCGGGATCCTGGGACCACTTCCTTGTAGATATGGAGAACTATATATTCAGTAATCAGGTCTAATAGGTAACAATGTTTGCATTTACTTAGGAGCATTCTTTGATGCCTCGGTATGTGATCTTTTAATTGAAAGCCTTTATTTTTTTCTCCTTAGGAACACTCTTCTAAACTCACAATCCATTATAAGTTTCATTTTTATTTACTTAAGAAATATTTTATTGGGGGCTTACTATTTGTAGGTACTGTGTGAAGACAGGGATGTGAGCCAAGAACATGCTGTTAGAATTTCGGTCTGATTTACGGAGGGGGTTTTAAAAATACACAGTTGCTTAAATCTGAGTGTTGTGCTTTTGGTAGGGAGAGGCATGTACTTTATTTCTGCAAAATCTAAAAAGAATTTTTTTTTAAACTTAAAATGTGAAAAAGTGTATGGTTCAAGAAGTTTTTTGGAATTCAGAAAATATGTCACCAAAACTAGCCTCAAAATATATGTCTTCAGTTTTTATCTTAGTGTTTTGAATTTGTTACCTAATGGTAAAAATTGATTTAAAAAACCCCGTGGTATCTTGGATCCTGGTCATCAATTCCCAGCTGTATTCTCTGAAGCTCTCAGTCTACCTCAGACTGACCCTGTCTTTAAAAATGGACTTTAGCACATCCTTAGGCCGTGTAGGATACATTGTTTAGTTGCTAAGTCGTATCCTACTCTCTTGCGACCAGTGGACTGTAGCCTGCCAGGCTCCTCTGTCCATGGGATGTTTCAGGCAAGATTATTGGAGTGGGTTGCTGTTTCCCTTCTCCAAAGTTGAGGAAGATACTAAATTATCCTGTTTTAACAGTGAAACTTGTTGCAATATCCCTAGTTGCCATAAACAACCATTAGGAGCTTGGAGCATCAAATTCAGTCTTTCCTGACCCCTCCCCCACCTCCTTGGTGCAGGTACAGATTCTGCCTTTATCCTCAGAAGACCCTTCAGTGATGCTCGTCTGTGACCTCGGCCACCCAGCCTGGCGTGTGTGTCCGCACGTGGGGAGCGGTCAGCATGCTTGAGACTGAGTGGCATCCCTGCCCTAGAGCCACACGCTTTCGGCAGGAGGAAGGTGTGTGGTTTTCCTCTCCCAAGAAGAAAGCCTAGTCCTCCTTTTTTCCTTCTTGTGACTAGCAGTCTCTGTCGGTGGCTGCCCTAGGTGACAGTTGTTCTCCCCCACGTGGTGTGATGGTAACCGATGGGAGCCCTTCTGTGTGTCTGCAGAATGCCAGTGGGGAGGGGGCGTGTCCTGGGGACATGGGCGGCCACCAGGAGGGCCACAAGGTCACCCCAGAGACTTGGCCTCCTAACCGGCCACTTGCCGACGTAGGATGAAGTGTGGTTGAGGATGTGCCTGAGAGAGGCTTTCCTGTTGTTGACGGTCTGATGAGCGTGGCTGTCCCAGAACACGGTAACCGAACAGGGATTGTCATTGACTTATTTAACAAGCCAGCCCATTGTTTTGCTGAGCTGCAGTGTTTCTGCTGGTCAGGTGAACAGAGACACTCGAGTTGTGGTCTCATTTAAGGCTGGGAGGGAAAAAGCGTCCCCCAAGCAAGGATAAGCAGATTGCACACAACTGCATGTAAATTCTGAATAGCATAGCAGAATAATTATGTAAATTGAATATGCAGTGATGAAGGTAATGGGAGGTTTGGGTTATGTCAGTGCTGGGGTTGAATTGCTGGAGCAGGTTGCTGTAAGCCCTGGAATACAGCACTGGCAATTTTGTTTTGCAGAACGTTATGTGATACCGGTTATTTCCATCCTTGAATAAGTTAACTTGATGAATTTGTTTATACAGAAAATAATTCTCCTACAGAGGGCTAGAACAGAAGGGATAAACAGAAATGGAAGGAAACAGTTACTGTAGAACTGCTCACATCTCTCCCGTTTGGCCCTCTCTACTGGGTCAGTCGCAAGATTTCTGGTAACAAACTCATGCTCTGAGTGTCTGGTGACAGCAGTGACCCGTTACTGGTCTGCATTGTGTCCAGGCAGCAGAGAGCTGGCTTTGCATCATTGTCATACTTGTGCTAACATAGCACGTGAGAAAGGATGGTTGTCTTCAGTGGGACCAGTTTTCCTGTGTGCTTCCACGACTTCATTCTCTCGACCTATCATCCCACTTCGTTCCTTTGAGTCTCTGAGGCTTACATTTGTGACCATTCCTGGCAAACTGGCCCTTTTGGCAACAACGTATGATTGAATCTGTCTTGCCTATGCAGGAGAACCTAAAAGAACTGTCCAGAACCTGTTACATACAATGGTGGTGGTTGTGGTTTGGTTGTCATGTCTGACTCTTTGCGACCTCATGGAATTTAGCCCGTCGGGCTCCTGTATTCATGAGATTTCCCAGGCAAGAATACTGGAATGGATTGTCACTTCCTTCTCCAGGGGATCTTCCTGACCCAGGGATCGAAACTGCATCTCCTGCATTGCAGGCATATTCTTTTACTGCTGAGTCACCAGGGAAACCCTGCATAATAGAACAGTAGTGAAACAGAAAAAGGTGTCAGCATTTCAGAAAGAGTCACTTAATATCTTACTGATGGGGAAAAAAAAAAGACGGGCCATATTCCTCTTTTCTAATTAGAGCTATATCTTTTTTCCCCCTTTCCATTTTACCTTAAATATATATTTTTCCACATGTTTTTCCTGTGAGCTCTCCAGGTGTCTTCATAGCTTTCAAATATTGTCAGTTAATATTGAAAATAAGGGCTAAGACATTTGTGGTTGGAAAGAATACTTTTTTGCATACGGAAGGGTTCACGGAGCTGAAATTCGAGGATTCGTGGCTTTCCCTTCAATGCATTTTCTGTTGTGTGTGCTTGGGCCTTGTGCAATGAGAGAATTTGGAGGAAGTGCTTCCTTTGAATGACTTTTGAAGGATTTAGTGGTGCATTTAGCTATATAAAGATTCTTTGAATGTACATAAAGAGGGGAACTTGGCCAAAGGGTGTGACTTGACTGTTGAAGCTTCAGTTCAAAGAAGTCATGGAGATTCGCTTCTCGTGCAGTTTCTAGGAATTCATCTGATTCCTTGCTCCCCTCTCCACTCCCCCCACCCCTGCCCAGTATTAAAGTTAGTAGGAAGCTAAAAATGCTACTTCTCAATTAAGAGTGAAGATATTTTATTTTAAAATGGAAAACAACCATACTGTTCTTGTTTTAGAAAAATATATTAAGTACCAAAAACACGTAAAGTGTATTTTTTTGCATATCACACTTTCATTAATATTTATGTTGTGACTTTCTTCTAACAACTGTAGCTTTTCAGATACTATCTGCTCTTAAGCATGTAAAATTACTTGCACACAAAAATAAACCATTAAACTCATTTTACTAATTAAGTACAGAATTCCTTGATAGGTGTCTCCCCATCAGATAAACTGAATTAAGCCAGCAGCTCTTCTATTTATTTGTTCTTTCTTCTGCTCACACGCTGTGACTTGGTTTTGACCTAAGACACTGAATAGTTGTACAGATGGAATTAGGTGTTTTAGATACTGTGCTTCAAGTGGGTATAGGTTTCTCTAGCATGTGGTCACAAAAGGACCGTTGAACCCTTCTGGTGTTGGTGAGGAATAAGAACTTCTCATGAACATCATGTGCTCTGCCTGCCCACGGACCTGCACTGTCTGCTCCTGGTCAGTACGTCCAAGCTCTGGGCCAGGGGTG